AATTTTCCAGTCGCGGCCAACGAGAAGGGTGGCTACCAATGTTGCTTCAAATTTTGGTATCGGTCGCGATCGGTGGCGACCCGTCGCGACCGATTTCCGATTTGGAGTGCCGATCGGTCGCTACCGATCGCGACCGAAAAATTCTGGTATCCAATGTTCTGACGCTCGTTGCCCAGGCAAATCCCCCCCTCCCCCCCACACCCCATGGGTAACGCTGACGATCGAATTGGAGGGGGGGCCTGGACCACCCTACATGCTGGGGGCATTGTGCCGGTGGCGCGGACGCACCCTGGCGGGTGCACGCCGCGGCCGCCGTTGCCGTTACCCTCCCGCCCGAACACCCCCCCTTTCCCCCTCCCCCGGGTAACAACGGTTACCCAGAAAAGAAAACAAGAACGGTCACCTCTGTGTTTCTGGAGGGCCTCCCGGGGCGCTCGCGCGGCCTCGTCGGTTTGCAGTTCGCAACGGTTACCCCGAACAGGAAACAAAAACACGGTCACCTCCGTGTTTCTGGAGGGCTTCCCGGGGCGCTCGCGCGGCCTCGTCAGTTTGCAGCTCGCAACGGTTACCCCGAGAAGGAAACAAAAACGGTCACCTCCGTGTTTCTGGAGGGCGTCCCGGGGCGCTCTCGCGGCCTCGTCGGTTTGCAGTTCGCAGCCCCCAGGGGCGGCGAAGTCGAATGCAGGTCTGGACACGACCGCACTGCGCCGGACGTGTTCAGGTGCCCAGGAATGTGACGACGGTTTCGCGGCTCGCAGCCCAAAGTTCGCAGGTCAGGATGAAGCTGCATTGCGATGGACCCCCTCCAGGAGCCCACGAAAGAGGCGACAGTTTCACACTTCGCAGCCCCCAGGGACGTGGAGGTCGAATTCAGGTCTGGATAGGACCGCGCCACGCTGGACCCCTCAGGGGCCCAGGAAAGTGGGACCAGTTTCCCAGTTCGGAGCCTCCAGACACGGCGAGGTCAAATCCAGATCGGGACTGCACTTACGCTGGATCACCACCCCGGAGACCACGAAAGTGGCGACAGTTTCGGAGTTCGTAGGCCCCCCCGGGGAGGGCGAGGCAGGCGGCAGGGCAGAAGGCGGGTCAGAGATTAGAAGCAGCAGAAGGGGCCTAGAGGGCAGCGGCACGAAGGGTGGGAAGGAGAGGAAAAGACAGTCGCGCTCGATTTGAAAGAAGAACCCAACGCCTAAGTCGGGCATTGCCCTCCTAAATGGTATGATTTCTGCATCGCGGTGGTCATGGATGAGCGAGTCGCAGTGTGAGTGGTGAGTCTGAGAGCGAGTGAGTCTGAGTGTGAGTGAGTCTGTGTCCGAGCGGGCCAAGGCGATTGAGTCTGATTCTGAGCGCGTTTGAGCGTGACCGAATCTGAGTGCGAACTGTATGTGCGTGTACCTATATGGGGCGAAATTAAGATGAGTACGAGCGGATCTAAGTGTGAGTGAGCAAGAGATTGAGACATTATGAGTGTGAGTGAGTCTGACTGTGAGCAGGTATGGGTGCCAGTTGGTCCGGTCACGCATGAGCGGGCCTGAGTTTGCCTAAGCGAGGACGGCTGGTGAGATGAGCGAGGCGTTGGTGTGGCATTCATGACACGAACCCCCCTACTCAGGATATCGGGAGCTATGGCTCGGGCCTTCTTGGGGGCTATCTGGGGAGCTGGGAGCGGTCTGTGAAACTCGTTGCTTGGCAACGGAAACTCGGCGGCGAGTGAGGGGGGGGAGTGAGAAGGAGAAGGCATTCTCAGAAGGTGCGGAAGTCCCCCCAGCCTCCTGAGAAGTTGTCGAAGCCTTCCCCGAGGACAAGCAAAAAGAACTTCTCGGAAGGTGCGACGGCTGCTGAGAAGTCCCGCCGCCTTATGAGAAGATCTTCTTCTTCTCATTGCCTCCCCCCCGCTCGCCTCCGAGAAAACGGGAGGGAGTGAAGCGGGGCTGAGTCGGATCCGCGACGCAATGAAGCGACGTCAGACTTCCAGCTCTCCCCCCCCCCTTTCCGTGCCTCCCTCCGCGCGCACGCGCGTGCGCGCTGTGGGGTATGTGCGCCGCCGTTGTCGGTGTCGAGGGTGTAGGGCCGCTTGTCCCGCCACCCCACACCTTTCCAGGGCTCATTTCGATTCTCCCGATTCGATTTCGATGGATTCCGATTCCGATTCCGATTCGATTCGACTTGGGATTCCGATTTGAAGTCCGATCCCTCAGTGGAGGCCTATTAGCCTGCCGATTTCCGCCGATCCGATTCCTCACGACTCGGCCGCCGATTTCCGCCGATCCGTTTCATGTCGATCGCCGATCCGAGTTGGCGATTCGATTCTGGGCCCTCTTGCGTTTTCGGTGTCGAGGGTGGGGCCGCTTGTCCCGCCATCCCACGCCTTTCTGTCGCCTTTCCACTGCGGCGACGCTGCGCCTGACCCTGGCTGCTTGCCGCTGAAGCCCCGCGCTGGGGCTGGAAGCGGTCCTGCGAGACTACAGTCGGCCCAGATTAGTAGGTCGACCTTGCCAAATTAAGGATACCCTTGTGTCCTGTGTCTCGCGACCCATGCTTCCTACATTCCTGCGGCAATGTGGCCCTCGGAAGGGTCTTGTGTCCTCTCGCGTGGCCTGTCCAATCGAGTCCGACTGCAGCCGGAAACAACAATATCAACCACACCGCTCGGTGTTACTTGCTGGGAGGATCCAGCACGGCGCTGGTCCGATGGACCCCTCCGCGTCGAGGGAAAGAGGGTGGCTGAAGAGGCAGCGCTCGACACCACCAGGTCCCAGCGAGGGTTGGCGGGTCCCCGAGTTTCCGACGGTGTTGATGATGATGTTGATGATACTGATAATGATGATGGTGATGGTGATGATGATGGTGATGATCATGATGCTGCTGCTGCTGCTGATGATTGGGTTAGCTTGGGGGTTGTCTACAGAAAGTGGGGGGACAGGAAGCTAACAGCCAGGGGTGGGTGGGAGAGCTCCAACACAAGTATTCAACCTTAGGTGTTTGCCCGCAGGCGTTGCTTGAAAACTGCCCTGGCGAAGGACCCAACCATATGCAGTTGTGAATACCGTCGCTGTTAGTATCGCCTTCGTCGAATCTCCTTATGGGGCCACGAAGCGCGTGAAGAGTGCGCCGAAATGGGGCCGCGCCGCGATGCGGACGCTGTTACTGGGGCCTGGCGTAGAGCCCCATGCATGTGGCCAACATGGGGCGGCGCCGCCATGCGGACCGCGCCACTGTGACCTTAGACGAACCTCCCTATGGGGCCACCAAGCGTGTGAGGGGTGTGCCGAAATGAGGCGGCGCCGCCATGCGAACTGCGCCACTGGGGCCTTAGGTGAAGCCCCCCTTATGGGGCCACGAAACGTGTGAGGGGTATACCGACATGGGGCGGCGCCGCCATGCTAGCTGCGCCAGTGGGACTTTAGGTGGAGTTCCCTCTGGGGCCACGACGCGTGTGAGGGGTGTGCCAAAATGGGGCGGCGCCGCCATGCGAACTGCGCCACTGGCACCTTGGGGGTGGAGCTCACTGTGGAGCCACGCAGCGTGCGAAGGGTGTGCAACAATGGGGCGGCGCCGCCATGCGAACTGCGCCACGGGGACAGGTGTACCTCCCTGTGGGGCCACGAAGCGTGTGAGGAGTGTATCGAAATGGGGCGGCGCCGCCATGCGAACTGCACCACTGGGACCTTAGATGGAGTTCCTTATGGGGCCACGAAACGTGTGAAGTGTGTGCGCGTGTGCCAAACTGGGGCGGCGCCGCCATGCAAACTGCTCCGCTGGGACCTTAGCGCGTGAGGTGCGTGTGTGTGTGTGTGCGTGCGTGTGTGCGTGTGTGCGTGTGTGCGTGTGTGCGTGTGTGCGTGTGTGCGTGTGTGCGTGTGTGCGTGTGTGCGTGTGTGCGTGTGTGCGTGTGTGCGTGTGTGCGTGTGTGCGTGTGTGCGTGTGTGCGTGTGTGCGTGTGTGCGTGTGTGCGTGTGTGCGTGTGTGCGTGTGTGCGTGTGTGCGTGTGTGCGTGTGTGCGTGTGTGCGTGTGTGCGTGTGTGCGTGTGTGCGTGTGTGCGTGTGTGCGTGTGTGCGTGTGTGCGTGTGTGCGTGTGTGCGTGTGTGCGTGTGTGCGTGTGTGCGTGTGTGCGTGTGTGCGTGTGTGCGTGTGTGCGTGTGTGCGTGTGTGCGTGTGTGCGTGTGTGCGTGTGTGCGTGTGCGTGTGTGCGTGTGTGCGTGTGTGCGTGTGTGCGTGTGTGCGTGTGTGCGTGTGTGCGTGTGTGCGTGTGTGCGTGTGTGCGTGTGTGCGTGTGTGCGTGTGTGCGTGTGTGCGTGTGTGCGTGTGTGCGTGTGTGCGTGTGTGCGTGTGTGCGTGTGTGCGTGTGTGCGTGTGTGCGTGTGTGCGTGTGTGCGTGTGTGCGTGTGCGCGTGTGCGCGTGTGCGCGTGTGCGCGTGTGCGCGTGTGCGCGTGTGCGCGTGTGCGCGTGTGCGCGTGTGCGCGTGTGCGCGTGTGCGCGTGCGCGTGCGCGTGCGCGCGTGTGCGCGTGCGCGCGTGCGCGCGTGTGCGCGACGCGCACGCGCACGCGCACGCGCACGCGCACGCGCACGCGCACGCGCACGTGCGCGCGTGCGTGCGCGTGCACGCGCACGCGCACGAGCTGCGTGCGTGCGTGCGTGCGTGCGTGCGTGCGTGCGTGCGTGCGTGCGTGCGTGCGTGCGTGCGCCAAAATGGGGCGGCGCCGCCATGCGGACTTCGCCAGTGGGACCTTAGGTGGAGCTCCCTATGGGGCCACGAAGCGTGTGAGGGATGTGCCAAACTGGGGCGGCGCCGCCATGCGAACTGCGCCATTGGGACCTTAGGCGGAGCTCCCGAATGGGGCCGCGAAACGTGTGAGGGGTGTGCCAAGAGGGAGGGAGGGAGGACGAAGAGAGGAGAGGATAGGATCGCGGGGTCCGTCTCTTCAAAGCGAGGACCCAACACCACAGGATGATTGGGAAACGCAAAATCGGCTCGAGTGCTCGCGTTTTTCCAGCCGCGCGCATGCCCCGCGCGCGCCCGAGAGAGGTCGCGGAACGCAAGCACGAGAGGATCCAGGACGGGGTGGGTGGGCCTTCTCGGTTTGCATCGAAGAGGTTTCTCTCCTCCTCCTCCTCCTCCTCCTCCTCCTCCCTCCTCCTCCTCCTCCTCCTCCTCCTCCTCCTCCTCCTCCTCCTCCCTCCCTCCTCCTCCTCCTCCCTCTCCTCCTCCTCCTCTCTCTCCTCCTCCTCCTCCTCCTCCTCCTCCTCCTCCTCATCCTCCCCCTCCTCCCTCATCCTCCTCCTTCTCCTCCTGCTCCTCCTCGTCCTCCTCCTCCTCCTTCTCCTCCTCCTCTCGAATGGCCTCCTCCTCCCCTCCTCCTCCTCCGCCTCCTCCTCCGCCTTCTTCTCCTCCTCTCCTCGCTCCCTGGTGGAAGAATGCGACTACGACCTTCCCGACACCGACGCCAGATCCTGAACATTCCTCCGTACGTTCTCCCCTCCATGACCTCCCCACGCCGAGTCCAACTACGATACATCAGGGTTCTGGCCCATCCGCGGTGGCCTTGGCCCCGCCCCTGGCGATCATCAGTGCGCTTCGCGTCGCTTCGCTTCTCATCTCCCTCATTCTCCTTCTCACCCCTTCTCATGTCCTCCCCTTCCCCCATCCCTCCTCCCCCGCCTCGCAGCGCGGAAGAGGAGCGGGTGGTGGGCCGGTGGGGCTCAAGGACGGAAGTTGTTTCCCTTTTTCTCTCGGACAGGTTCGAGCAGCCCCGCAGGAACCCATACATCCAGCTTTCGGATGGCCGGTTGTCGTACGTTTGTCGGCCTCGGAGGCATTCTCTCTAGCCCCAGCACCATCAACGAAGCTGTATGAGATGAAAACATGGTCTGGGGATTGGGCCGAGAGGTCACAGGGGCATCTGCCACACAGAAGTCGTGAACTGGGATGCGTGGGGGTGCAAGTGAGCCAGGTGTTTTTTTGTTCTGCATGCCCGCAGGAAGTGTAATGTTGATGTTGCTCTTACCGCTTGCCATGTGCTTGGTGCTGCGGCGCCCAACTGCGATGCTCTTCCGTCGGTGGCAGGCGCAGATGCGGGGCCATCTCTGAGCATCCTGGAGGCTGAGACCCGTTGCTATAGAGTAAATGTCGAAAGCCTCCGCTGGTTTTCTATTTGATGTATATAGGCCAATAGCGCCAAATAGCGGCCAGCAGCGCCGAGTAGCGTTCAAGTAGAGGTGAGGCAGATGCGTCCTGTCCGCTTTGCGCGCGATGGGGCGCGTTTCGGGGGGGAGAGAGGAGGAGAGAGAAGGAGGTGGAGGAGGAGGAGGAAGAGGTGGAGGAGGAGGAGGAGGAGGAGGAGAAGGAGGAGGACAGTGGAGGAGTGGGAGGAGGAGGAGGAGAGTGGAGGAGGACAGAGGACAGTGGACAGAGGAGAGAGTAAAGGAGAGAGTGAGAGGGAAAGAGGAGGGAGGAGAGAGGAGAGGAGAGAGGAGGGAGGAGAGAGGAGATGAGAGAGGAGAAATAAGAGAGAATAATGATGATGAACATGATGATGATGATGATGTTGATGATGAGTATGATGATGATGATGCTGATGATGATGATGGTGATGATGATGTTTGTGATGGTGATGATGATGCTGATGCTGATGATGAAGATGAAGATGATGAAGATGATGATGCTGCTGATGATGATGATGATGGTGATGATGGTGATGATGGTGATGATGATGGTGATGATGGTGATGAGGAGGAGGAGGAGGAGGAGGAGGAGGAGGAGGAGGAGGAGGCCCTCTTGGGCCGTCTTTGGGGCCTTTTGGAGCACTCTGGGTCCGTTTGGGAGCGTTCGTGAGCCCTAGGACCTCCCGAGGGGATCGCATTCTGACAATGGACCCCTCCCCAGGACGAGAGAAGGTCTTGGTGTGGCCCGTTGTGTGTTTGCGTGGCCCGGTGGGCCTTTGTATGGCCAGGGGTGCTCCAGACCCCATAAATTCAGGCGACCGCAAACATGGCTCAATGGGGCGTGGGATGGCGACGGGCCCCGTTTCCATGGGAAATAGCGGATTTCCGCCGCCGAGCGAGCGGATCCATGGATTTGGCGACCGCGCGCCAAATCCATGGATCGCTAATCCATGTTTGCGTCCCCGATAAAGCTTAGGGTACGGCAGAGAAGGGGGGGGGAGCCTCCAGGAAGAGACCCAAACCCCTCCACTCATAGCTGATAAAAAACATACAACGAGCCTCTTATGAGGGGGTCGTCGTGAGGCCGTGTTGCGACGTCCAGATGTCATTTTGGTCCGTCTCGGGTCCCTCCGGAGACCCTCTTGGGCCAGTTTCATGCGTTATTTGGGGCCTTCAGGGCCGTGTTGAGGCCGTCGTGGAGGCCTTGCGGGCAACTTCGAGGCTTTCTAGGGCCGTCGTGGGGCCATCTTGGAGGCCTCTTGGGCCACCTTAAGTCGACGAAGGAAGCCCGACAAGGCAAGAATGCCAACAACCTTCAAGACTGAAGGCTGG